GTACCAAACCTTCACAGTGGCATATGATACAACATTAGTACTAAAGCTGTACACATGATTGGTGACATTCTGTAGCTGACGTTTTGCAACAGAACAGGAAGTGGTTCTAATCTGCTAGCATTATAGTTCCATTTCAGACACTATGTATTTAATGATAACAATATTTTTTTACAAATTTTGTAACACAATATTCTAAAGCAAGTCTCTTTCTTTAAAATGCCAAAAATCATGTGACAAAATATGATTAAGCACACCAATGTGAAATGTTTGTGCAGATCATATTTGTGGTGACGGGAGTTTTTCATTAAAACTCGATACATGAAAGTTTGGTTTATTTGATTATAACAAAATACTCAAACATGATCTGCCCAAGGGAAAGAATGCCTTCATGGAGAACTTTCTAAGGGAAACTGGCTCATATACACATTAGAGATGGGGATGCAGCCTACCTGTGTGCCAGGATCCCGGACTGAACTGCCAGTGTTCAGCCACTCTCCCACTCAACCATTGGTCTGACTCTGTGTACAGAAACATTTTACCTTCTGTTGAACTTCTATTTGTTAATCTAGGTTCATTAGTTGGGATATTATTTCCAAATAATTTTCATTAGAAGTGGTGAGAATTTTTCTTATTTTCAAAATCTACTTTTTAATGCAGTTTTAAGCTCAAGGTTACTTACTTGGCAGATTGTTTTATGGTTTTTCATGCATCCTGCCTTCTATTTCTGCTAGGTGTGAAAAGTGCATAAAAAGGGTTAGAACCTTTTTTTTTGGCATGCTTGGCATTATCGACGTAAAGGGTGAACTAAAGGAAGGAAAAAAGTGAAAATTTTTTTATTGTTTTATTCTTGCCACCGTCTAGACTGTGGCAGCATTCACTCTTTATAAACGGGTGCACGTTTGCGAGTGATACTTTTCTAATCTAATTGCTTTGCCTATGAAATCTGTGCCACTGCATACATGTTTGCTGAAAAATAATGTTAAAGTTAGCGCAAATTAATACTTACCGATATCTAATTTTCGATGGTGCAACTCAGCAAAAAAAAAAAAAAAAAAAAAAAAAAAACAGCATAAGATGGAGATCTTTTGCAATTAGCATCTTCCTCTTTTTGATTATGGAATGGGTTCTCCTTTCATCTGCTGTGCCTGCGCGATGAATCGCCTGCCATGAGAATTCCCCATGGTTCTCCTGCTATGAGCATACCACTGTAAGATATCTCCCATCAAAGTGGATTCTCATGTTCTTATCATCACTGGTATCTCCTGATGAGGCTCCCTTGGTCTGCCTACTTAACTTGTCCCTATTTCCACCAAGAGCAGTCATTCCATTGGAGGATCTTTACATAAATCTTAAAGATAGAGATTCTGCCAGACACTGTGGTTGGAAAAGAGTGTATCTGATGCTATGATTAAAGAAATACTCACAGATTGATAGAGAAAAGCAATTTATTTTGTTTTATACATACTACTCATTCCACTTAGTAAGGTGAACTTTTTCCAGCACCCACTGCTGCTAAATTAAATGGAGTTTAAAATATTGTTACTTAGTAAATAAAAAATTATTGTTGTAGCCATTATGAAAAAAATGTTGTAAATCTTAGCCTTTTTCATAAAATGTCTGAAAACATTAATCCCTTCTGGGAGAATACACTTATAATACATGTTTGAAAAGGTCTAAAAAATAAATAACTTGGTTGATTTAATAAAATAAGTTGTTTTATATGTTTTCCTGCTACCTATACACTTCTTGTTACCTTCTGCCACCTCTTGTTAACCAAGGTTGTTGCCTCCATGCAAAGTTTTTGGGTTTTCTTTATAACACAATGCAATGTATTTGACTTCATTCACTTGAACACATTAGTTTTAACAGATTAGTTCTAAGGGTTACATAGGGTTTACCAGAACCACTGTACAACATATGCACAGTTTTGTTAATACATCTTACGTTTTGTATATAATTCACTTAGAGAAACTGAAAATTGAATGTAATGTGTAATTCAAAAGTTGTATCTAATTCTTTTCGATGTGTAACGTCTTTTTAATTTTGTTCCTAATTTTTTGCTTTTTAATAGAATTAAAAAGTAAATGGTGACTATCATATAAACTTATCAGGTCAGTCCATAAGTTCGTGTGCATTAAGAGTATGCGTGGAATTCACTATGACGCATTTACTAAAACAATACAGTTTTGAACCTGTTGAAACTTGTAATCGTTTGATTAACATATTATTCAGTTCATCACCAACTTTTGTAAATATCGAAAGTTATTCATCTTCTATGGGTATTAAGTACCCATAGAAGATGAATATAGATAATCAGTACAAACGAGCTGTGATACATTTTTATTTTTGTGTGGGGAATCTGCCAAGTTTGCAGCGATAAAAATTAATAGTGCACATGGTGAACACACTATTAGTGTAAGGACTGCCCAGAAATGATGTAAAAAAATAAGTTGGAAAAAGCAGCATTGATGATGAACCCCATTCAGGACGTTTTGAACTGTTAGAACCAAATCAAACGATTAATTCAGAAGATTATAGTGAACAACTTTGACATCTAAACTCAGAATGGCTAAAAAAACTCCAACGATTGGTGAATATAAAAAAGTGTTGTTTCATCATGATAACGCTAGACCGCATACGGCTCAAACAATGCTGCGAAAAATTAGTAAATTTAATTGGGAGCTTTTGCCACATTCTGCTTACTCCCCAGATATTGCTCCAAGTGATTTTCACTTATTTCGTGCCTTACAAAATTTTTTATTTAGAAAGAAATTAAATTCTAAACAGGATGTACACAATAAACTTTTTTTTTTTCCCATCAAAACAAGTTTTTTTTCCCCCCCCATCAAAACCAGAGTCTTTCTACAGCAATGGCATAAAAAAGCTGCCTGTAAGAGGGTGAGACATTGTAAATAATGGAGGAAAATATATAATTGATTAAAATGTTAAATTGTGTTTTTTTATATTATTTAAAAATTTACCAAAAAAAATGCACATGAATTTATGGACTGACCCAATAAAATTTTTGTTTTCTTTTTTCTTAAACTTTTCCAGTTTTTTATTAAATAATTTCATGAACTGGGATTAAATATATCTTTTCCATTTAAATGGCTTTTTTCTAGCCTTAGTTGTTCCATTGATTATTTCTTTTACCATGTTCTTCCATGAGCATTCCATAGGATTTCCATGTAACCAAAATTATATTTATAACATTTTTTATGTTTCCACATTGCAAATTTAATTAATCAAAACTTCTTTTTTTAAAAAAAAAAATTATTGTGGAGATATAGCATATTCTAGTCCAGTTGTTGCTTACTCATTTTTGTAATGATTTCGGGACTTTAATCAATGTTTAAAATGTAAAGAATATTTTTTCAAAAGAAGAATTCGGTCTGATAAACTTTTTTTCTGGATTATAAGTCTGCATCATGATTTCCATGACTGAAGGACTTTTGGGACTCTTCTGTTATCAGGACCAGATTCAGAAGTATATGTATGCATACACATGTATATATATGCTTGTGCATATATGTATGCACACATACATATACATATATATATATATACATACACACACACATGCATGCAGGTGCACATCCATCCATATATATGATATATGCATACATATGTACATTTCTCAATTTGGTCACAATAACATAAGAGTATCTAATTTTTGTAAAATTTCCTGGGGTGTTGATTTCCATACCGCTTCCACTATTTTCCAGAGTCCATCAATTGTGGCAGTTTACACTTAGAAAGAACTCTTTTGAAGAGACCAAGGGTACATCAGTGCATACATCAGGGGAATTCGTAGGAATATATTGAAAATGTATATGTGCAATACCTGTATCGGTCTTTATTTTGTCATGGAATACAGTGATATTTTTGAAGTATGACTTGTTGCTTTGTCTTGATGAAATTTCACTCTTTGAAAGTCATTATATAAAGAAGTGGAATTTCTTTTGTAAATATCAGATGTAAAACTTTCTCTTGATAATATGTTGATTCGATTTGATTTTTTTTTTTCACTCTTTGTATTTTTAACTCTCCATTGTAACAGAATCCTGCAAGAACTGTAAATCCCTTACTGAAACTTTCTCTTTGAATCGATGAAACCTCACTTTTTGTTTTGTTTTCAATGATAAATAGACCTTTTTTTGTTGCAGGTATTTAGGTAAACCCATGCTTCATCAGAAATCGCAATGTATTTCTATTTATATCCTGATAAATAGTTCTCATACAGGGTTCAAGTTGTTTTGCATTGAGCCACATGCCTTGGCAAAAGCTAGTGAAAATTATGTTTTAAGCTTTTCTAAATTGTACATTTTGGTTTATTATTTTATTTATTGTTGCTGCTGATGTTTTTAAAGACTTAAGAATTGATTTCTGGATTCTCAGATTTTGTCTTTTTGCTAGCTTTAGAACATTAGAAACTGTATTTACCCTTTTCAGGTCTGAAGTCTTCACTCCATACAGAAGTAAAGACTGATAGTATTTATTTTTGCAATTAATAATGTTGCTTATTTTGCACTTAGAAATTTTAATACATTGCATTTCACACCTGCTTAAATGGTGGAAATTGAATATTTCTTTTCAGAAAGTACAGAAACATATCCTTCAATTCGCAGCTTGTTTACACGCATCATTTTGAGAAAAAGAATAAATTTAAACATAGCAGACAGTATTTCTCATCTGAAAGAATAAGCTGTTGCTAGAAATTTTTATTCCAAAGCATTTGCTTTTTTTAAAAAAAAATTCTTTTTCTATATTATTCTAAAAATGTGTAAACACGTCTGTACTTTGCTGTTTGTACATTGCTTTCTCTAAAATAAAACATATCAAATCTTGCATTTGTATTTAAAAACTGAATTTTTTACTTTTTTTTTATTTTTAAGTTTCTATGATTACATTTGAAAACTATGTGGTATTATAGATGCATTAAAAATATGGAATATGCATGCATAAATGAATTATATAAAAATTTGAAATTTTTTATGTAGGATTAAAAATGACTTATCCGAATGTTCTGGAAAGATTACAAAATCTGAATTAATTGCACAGACTTTGACTAAATATAGAATTTTAAAGTTGGAGCAGCAAATGTTTCTTATTGAAGTAAGAAAACTTTAGATTTCTCTATAGTTATTGTCAAAGTTATTTCAGAAATAGTATATATAAAATGTGCATGATTGTAAAACAGTTTCAGTTGCAAATATTTATGTTTTTTCAACCCTTTTGATCATATGTAATCATTAATTATTTAAATATGAATTAATCTGTTATTATTAAACTTTTACTGATAACTTTTTATAGCTTTTATTTGCATCGTACTTTTCTATTTAGTGGTAATTTATTCTCTTAAATAAAATGCTTCTATTTTAGAACAAATATTTTAGTTCAAAGTTAATATTACTTATAACAAATATGTGCATACAGAGATTGAATCAAATAATATAAATACTTTGAAAAGGAAGGTACTACACATCTAATGTGGTATACCTTTAGCATTTAAAGTAACCGGAATCCTCCTTGGAAAGGATACTTTTTTTAATTCTAAATATGGCTACTAAAACTCGAATACCATTCATCACTTAACCCTCCGAGAATTATGGGTTTAGCCCTGAAATTCCAAAGTTCTTGAAAATGTCATGAATAAGTGATATTTTCTTGACTTTAATTAAAAAATGACTGTCTCATTTTGTACCTTGATTCCTTTTCTTCAAATATACATCCAAACTGAAATTAAATACATTAAAAGCTAGCAAAAGTTTTCATGTGTAATGAATATAGAAGGCAACCTTCTATACAGAATTTTCTGGTCGCAACGCTGAGAGGGTTAAAACTGCTTCAGGTCTTTGAGATATACTGGAGGAAAGTAAATGGGATCTGACTTTGTTATCCAGCACAGACCATATTTGCTGAATGATGATTTTGGAAACTAGGGGAGATTTTTGATTTCATTTTCATATTTTTCAAACCATAACTAGACATTCCGATCTCTATGAACTTTGGCATTGGTATCTTGGAAGTATGTAATCTCTTGGGCAATGCTTGCGTTATTGAATGAACATGATTACCTGAACTGGTTACTTAATGCTAGTCATCATTCCTTTCGTGGCAGAAATGAAAATTGCTAAACTATGATATAATTGCATTAAGTATTTGAAATCTCTATTACCATGCTTTGAGACAACAATGTGGATTGTAAGCTTCTGTCAGTATTCTGCCTTTACACGAGAAGCCTCAGTATGCCTTGTCAAAATAATGGCAATTATTTATCAAGTTCAACAGAAGAACTGTGGCTTGTAGGAAGTGAAGATTATCCTTCTGTGAAATCGGTCCTCATGCTAGATTAAAATGAGCCACAGCTAATTATGTGCAGCTGACCGATGGAAGTGATTGCACCAACCTTGTCACACCACCAAATGAGGGGGACAAGCATGTTATGCACAAGACAATGATCAATCACTCAGCCACACTAAGACCTAATTTATGCACAGACATTGAATGAAAATGCATAAATTGGGTGTATTGCAAAATAGCCTATGTCAGCGCATACCATTTGATGTTGTCTGCCGGGGAAGAAAATCTTTGCAAGATTTGCTTTGCTGTGATTAACATTAACTCCACCCCCTAGGCACACATGCTGCAAATGTGTGTTGAATGCTGGATATATATGAATAAATTACATAGCAATTGTCTTTCCGGACAAGTCTCGATTCTGTGTACAGCAAAATGATTGTTATATCTGAGTTTGGAGAGAATGAGATTACAGACATCATGACCCTTGCATTATGCATTATCTTGCAAGTCTCTCATCTGGAGTTATGGTTTGTCTTGCCACTGAATATTATTCCCTCATCTGCTTCACACACACTACCAGTATATTCAGTAACCAGTGCTATGCGTCTGAAGTTTTGGAGTCTTTTTTACCTTCCCTTGCCTTCGAGGCTGCCTTCTAACCAAGTTTCAATGGAACCTTGCCTGAGCATATGTAATAAGAAATATTCAACAGTTATTCATTTCCTGTGTGGTTACACTTTTGCCTTATTCTCCCAGTATGCAATCCACCAAACATGTCTATTCGATGATTGACCCAATATACAGCATCTGTGATGATACCAAATAAATATTGATAATAGAAAAAAAAAGATTGACTGACATACCCCAGGTATGCATCCAAAGCCTCTTTCAGTTATGATGCATGCCATAGCAGTTATTGCCAGCAATGGCATCTACTCAAAATACTGATTTCTTCATGTTTCAGAATCAGTGTCAGCCATGAGGGTCCAATAACATGAACCTAGTTCCTTACTGCCAGAAAAGGCAGCTTATGCTGTCCCAAATGGTAGTGACTTTGGCCATCCGAGTGAGTAGCGTGACAATCAAGAACATGGAATCAGTAGATATCTCTCTCCTTAGTTTCCATGTGCCTGAGGTGAGACATGTTCCTGGGTCACTAGTTCAGCATTGGATGTTAAAAGAGAGAGTTCAGTTTAAAGTCTGTGATGCTTGATTGAGACACAATGAGTGAGCAAGCGAGTTTGTGATATTCCTTCTTTTGAGGACACTTTTGAGGATAGTCACCTGGCCCTCCCAGCTAGTTCAAGGGGCATTGCCTTACATTAAGTACCAGGAAATGTTAAACAAATTTGATTGATTGTCTAATAAATATGTTTTTGATATTTCTTGTTCTTCATAGTGTTGCATTTTAGATGGCTAGTGCTTTAATTTTTACATTTTTAATCAACAATTAATCATTGAATAGTGTTCTTAAAGTGCATTTTTTAAGTTATGGTTATGGATACAAACTAATTTGAAAATTTTTAACTTCGTCATTTTATAATGATGTAATCATGTTTTAATTTTAATGAGTCAGAATTTAAATATATTTTTGTTTTCTGAATAAAGTTTAAATTCAGTTTTTTTTTTATATGTGTTGAAAAATAATAGCAACACCGATACAATTTCTTTTTTTATAATATTAATATTTATTATTCAATTTACAGTTGCTTACAATTTATATAAATTGTTTTGATACAAAAAAAGTTGAATGAAATCATATAAATTACACTTGATTACATTTCAGAATTCAGTGTGTACATGCTGGAATTTTAATACTATAATAAATATTGTGTTTTAACTGTTTTTGTTGAGAAAGAAGTTCAGCTTTTTAGTGAATCTGATATGCTATATCTATTTACATATGTGTACATTTTTTTTTTGTTTCAGGCAATTGAACGGTTAATAATAAATCAAGAAATTACAGCCATGTGTATAAACTTACTTCAAGAAATTCTTGAAAAAATAAGGCATACTCATAAAGACGGAGTATACTCGCATGCATTTGCGCTGGTAGATACTAAGCTTTTGGCTTTATATTCTAGGTAATGTTTGTGTATACTTTTTAGACATTTGCATGCTTGTTATAAATTATTCATTTTGTTTCAATTCGTAATATAGCATTTTAATGTGTGTTGTTTTAAAAGTATGATTATTTTTGTAGCAGCTGGATTGTTTTCATAGTTTCAAAAATTCTTTTGAGGAAAAAATATAAAAGAAATATATTATTATTATATTATTATATCTACAACCCAATTATATTTTATCCTCTGTTGCTATATGACTGTAGTTTATAGTGGTTTTATTAATCTAAAGTAATATTTATAAAAAGTAAATAAGCTATTTATATAAATTTTGTATGCAGAGAGAGGGACATAAAAAGATAGTGATTTTAAGGTTATAAATTTTATATATTTATATGTTATATATATATAATCTTATGTATTTATTATTTGTAAAGTAGAGGATATGAATATGTTTTAAGCTGTTTTCTCATTTAAAGGTTTTGGTTTTTCATTTTATCATTAAAGTTTCTTAGCATTTGAACATTTTCATCAAGTAAATAGATATCTTCAAGCAAACAACTGCATTTGTGTTTAAAAAATTTTTTGATAGCATGTCAACAAAATTTAGCAAAAATATTCTAAGTGTATTAATATTGTTTTTACTTTTCAAGTTCAGGGCTGAAATAATGGAAAATACATAATTTTAAAAATGAGTTAAGGAAGAGTTATACATAAATTGAGTGCTTATCTTAGTGCAGCAGCCTCCAGATTAACCACTCTCTTTGGTATTGAACTTTAGAAGTCAAATAATCAAATAGTTGATTAATTTGAAAACAGATGTAAAGTAGCCTTTATAGTTTTAAATAAAAATAAAAATATATTACATTTTGTATATGGATATTTATTAAAATTTCATTTATCTAAAAACCATTTACTTAAATATATTTAGCTTTTGCTTTGAAGCAAAATTATGCTGCAATTTCCTACAGATAAATATCAACAGCAAATTAATTGTTTTGCTGTTTTTATGGTTAACATTTCCTGTTGAAAACAAAATATGTGTACAAAATACATGGTTAATAAATAATAGATAGGATATTAAGTTCACCAGTTTATGAATAATGATATTCTTACTCACTTTATTTTCTGTGCTAAGTAATATAGGATCTTTGAATGTATTACTTTGCACTTATTTTGCCTTAATGTGAACTGGGAACAGTCCCAAAGATAGTCAAATTTAAATTTGCAGAGACATACTGTATATTAAATTAGATTTTTATTTTCATTGCTTTCTTACTTTTTATCCATTGAATGTATTTTTAAACCTTGTGTCCTTATCATTGTTTTTTGTTAGGTCGTTCTGGTATAACTGAAGAATAAAATGACGTCTTCGATATACATGACAAACATTTATTTTAACTATGAAGACGTTGAACAGCAGAGTAGAAACATAATATTACACAGCGCTTTGCACTTCTCTCTTACATGCAATACTCACCACTGACTTTGGCTAACTACATACTAAGTATAAGTATTACGCAGCAGAGAACTTGCTTATCATGCGCATGCGCTAGGGGAATTGACGGCGGTTGCCAACATACCCCCTTTCGACGTTGATTCTCCTATTCCTGAAAAGTAAAACAAAATACATATTAAACAGTATTCAATCCTACAATTGTACAACAGTTTTGATGTTTAACAGGAGTCAGGGGTTTGGTTAACACATCAGCTCCCATTTCACTGGTAGGTATGTACTTCACATCTAATTCACCGCGTTCGTACACTTCACGCACAAAATTCTTGTTTTCAGGTCTTTTTACTAATTCCCAAGCCTTTTCTTGAACAAGCGAGTTATATTCTAAAAGCATGGCATTATGCCAATTTTCAGCATATGGTCCGTTTAATGCTTCTTGCACCGTAGGATTAATGCTTTCCTCAACAACATTTTGAGTTTGTTCACTTTTATTTATAACTGTATAATAATATTCCTTTTTAGGCCTTCCTGGCAAACCTGTTTTTAGTTTCTTGGGTCGACCAGGCCCCCTTTTAATCAGGATAGGATGCATTGATTCGCTATCTAAATCACTTCCGCTTTCCGGTTCAGCTTCAGATTTAAGTGGCGACTCGCTACCGTCCAGAGGTGATGATTTTTCACAACATGTTTTATTTATAATTTTTTCCTCCGGAGCGAAAGGCAGATTTATTTCTTGCTCTGAGTCATAACTACAGCAGTTTTCAAACTCATTAATAAATTTTACATCTCTGCTTATTATCACTTTACGTGCCTCGGGATCCCAAAGTCTATACGCTTTTGATTCATCAGAATAGCCAATAAAAATACATTCTTTAGATCGAATATCAAATTTGCCTATTCTTGGCCTTTTATTTAGCGAAAATGCTTTTTGGCCAAAGGTTCTGAAGTGAGAGACAGCAGGTACTCTGCCAAACATCACTTCGTAAGGTGTTTTTATTTCGTTTTTGAAACCTCGTGTTGGACAGCGATTTCGAATGTAAGCAGCCGTATTGACGGCTTTGGCCCAGAATTTCTGAGGCAGATTGGATTGCAATAACAAACATCGCGCCATTGAAACCAAAGTGCGATTTAATTTTTGCGCATGATAAGCAGAGAACTTGCTTATCATGCGCATGCGCTAGGGGAATCGACGGCGGTTGCCAACAATAACAATAATCACAAAGAGAATAAAGAATTTAGTTTAAATTACCTTAACATTGCATTTTTTTATTATCGCAGTGAAAGATCTGTAATCAGTTTTCAAGTTAAGCAAATTGTTTTGTTAGTTAGAGTACGTGAAATAAATAAATTTTGCAGTGTTTGCTATAAATGTTTAACTGCTCAGAAAAATGAGAAATTTAACTGAGCTAGCTTAATGTATTTTATTCTCGGTTCTGAAAATATAGTATTTTCAGTAAAAGGTTAGAGAGTTTCTTTAAGCAATGTTTAATTTAATATATGGGGTTATTTTTATTTTCAAAGGCGAGGCACTACTAAGAATTGTTTGAGTTTAATTTCTTAGCACCATGTTTATTACACAAAGTGAACTTAGGCAGGTATTGTATAACATTTGCTGGCTGAGAATATAGGCTGAGAAACAAGATTAATCATGAGTTCAAAAAGAAAGACTGTATGCACTATTTATAAACAGCATAGAGATGCGAAAGGAAAGTATCATATGTTCTCTCATATTTCTCCCTTACTTGCATAATTCCCCCTTGTTTTTTTTTTTTTTTTTTTTTTTTTGTGTGTGTGTGTTTTTTTCCCCAGTATATGATTTAGAAATTTCTGATTTATGGTAACAATGCACAATGCATATACAAATAGGAAAGTATTTTATGTAAATAAAAATATTATTGAAAGGTCCTTTGAAATACATAATAGTATAATAAAATTAGTGTGTCTTTAAGTGTGTGTTTAATGTGCTGTGTTTATCATTGAAGCTGTTTGTTCAAAAATAGTGTACACTGCATAATTTTCCCCTCCTGGTTTTCAAGCATTAAAATTAGTCGGAAAAGCGAGAAAATAAGGTATATTATGAAAAAAAAATACAGGATAACCTGAAACTGCATAATTATCATAGATATTAATCTTAGATTTTTATAAATATAATTAAAAGCTATATTTTATGTTTATGAATATAGGTAAATGCAACTATAATAGCAAATATAAGAGAAACATGCTAATTCAGTGTTTCTTAAACTGTGAATTGTGACCTCAAATGGGGCCACAAAGCAAAATGTTAGGGTTGCTAAAATTTAGTTCAAATATACATGAACTGGAAAGAAACATTAGCGGCAATCTCTTCATTATCTTTAATTTAATACAGTCAAAAGTCATTAATTCGGACACCCATAATCCGGAATGATCTATAATCCGGACCTCAAAGCTACAAACTTTCTGCGCATGCGTCGCGTTCACGCATGCGCACAGGCGTTTACGAGAGCGCGTAAGACCCTTACGGCTGCGAATATGTTTGTGCGCATGCGCGTTTAATGTGTATCGGAGTTATACGCTAAGCTAAAGTTATCTAATTCAGTTAATGTTGCTGATTGCGTTGTTCCTTAATCTTCGAATTGGATCCGGCTTATTATTTTTTGCACTGTTAGAGCAATTTTATAAAAGTAAGCTTGAACTTTCGATTATGTCAAATAGAATTTCCGATATATATTTACTACAAAGCGAAAGTATGTTTTGAAATCCGAAATCTGTTTATCAATTTCATGCTGCTCTGCGGCAGAGGGGGGGGGCAGAAACGTCATTATTAGATTATGATAGATTAGAAAGATTATGTCAAATAGAATTTCCGATATATATTTACTGATATGTAATTTGTATCTAAAAAGCGAAAGTATGTTTTGAAATCCGAAATCTGTTTATCAATTTCACGCTGCGGATTGGAAGTTGATCTGTCAGCACTATCCTTATCTTCAGGGCAGATGTTTTTATTTTATTTGGTTTATAATTCCGTACTAAGTGTAGTATTTCATCTCGATATACTCCGTCTTTGATATGATTTAAATCAAGTTCCTCGTCATTATAATTCGCTTCCGATAGTGAAGAAAGTGACCCAGAGGTTATTGAAAATGAAAACATTTCGATTGACAAATTAGTCGGTATTCTCAACACAGCAATTATAGGATTTGAACAGCGGAACTTTGTAACTAAACAAGAAATTATGTCTGTTTAATAGAATTAAAGAGAAAGTATTATCACATGAAACGAAGCAACTTACATTGAAGGAAATGTTTAATAAAGTAAACAAATAAATATTAAGCTTTTTCTTTTTGTAAATTTTGATACCCTTTAGATCATAATTGTTCTTTATTTCATAAATTACGGTTTCATATTTATAATTTTGTAATTTCTGCATGCCATCTAACGAGATTTAAACTGATGATCTATAATCCGGAAAAATCGATAATCCGGAATCGCCGAATTCCCGACGAGTCCGGATTAACGACTTTTGACTGTATATTACATTTTCTGTAGAGCGCAGTAATAAAATTGCAATACTGGGCAGGTA